TGATTGAAATGTTTGTTTAGATTGAAACCGATCAGCCCCTGTTTTTGGGAAAGGTTTTTTTGGTTGTTGTTTTTTATGGTTTATCATTATTAAACAAACCAAGATGGTACATTCAACAAAATTAATTTATTTGAATCATTTACATTTACATTACATACATTTAATTAACATAATTAACATAGTTATCATCAAAACTCAACAAGTAAAATGACATTCATGAGTAAAACACCATTCATAGAAATGTGAACGTCAGTGACGGACATTTGCAAAGATTAAATCCATAAAGTAGTACAAATTTTATTTATTGAATTTTTGCAGATCTACATTATATTGTATATATAATGAATATATGAATAATGAATATATATATATATTTAATTATGTAATAATTATATATTATATAAATAAAATAATTATAGCTAATAGCTATAAAATCTAAAAATACTACATACATAATACAGATGTACAGTATATATATATATATTGTTTTTAAACATTTTTGTTTGTTGACGGTCATGTGTATAATTTTATATATGAAAGTTTAGCCAGTCATAACAGAGGTCATTTACATATGGGTACAGTACAATAGCCAGAATACCCTGAATGGATCAAACAGATGAAAAATGGTGGAAGTTTTTGTTGGAAAACAACTTGAATAACATCATAAGTGTGCCTCAGGGAACGAGACTGCTCCTTTCCTGGCCCTATATTAAAAATAGCATCCATTGCAGCTAACAATAGGGCAGATGTCGGATCCATAACCCTGTAGCTCCTTAAAGTGAAAGACGCCTTATCGTTTGAGCAGGCTTGTGATCGCTCCCTCCTCAGCCGCTCTCGGATTAAACCCCCAACCTTTCAGCTGGCAGTGCAGATTTGGTAACCACCATGCTTCCGCCACCCATAATCAGCTCAGCATGGCCTCTTCAGCCCTCGGTTCCTCCCTCTCTCAGCTTCTTCTGTCCCCTGCATTAGTGGCACTCTGCAGTGTACGCCAGTGAGAAATGGCCATCCCTTATCAGAGGCAGCAGAGTCAGTGTGAACGCGCACAGCTGAAGTCAACCTCCTAAACCTGTCTTCCCTCCTGTGCCTTGCTCTTTTCTTCCTGAAATGGAGATCTTTAATCATGTGTTATCTTGACCACACTGCAGGGAAACTCCAATTACTCTTTCTTTCTTGAACTCCCCCTCCCAAATAACCCCATTTGTGTAGCTGGAGACTTTGGCATTACATGTGAGGCGGATGTACTGCCGGTGGGGTTACGCCAAGGTTTCAGTGTATATAGTTAGTCTGTTTGTGTGTGTCTGTATGTGTGTGGTTCAATTCACTGCTGACTTGAGATCCTGCTGAGGCTCCGCCGCTGACACTTTTGATGTGTTTCAGTAATTATTTGTTTAAATGCTTTGATCTTCGAAAAAGGAGGGCATCTTCTCAGCCTGCAGCTTTGAAAGCGTGTTTGTGTATGTGTGCGTGTATCTTTGTGTCTGGATTTTGTCATGAGAGAGCCTTCATGCCACCATCCTCGATTCTTTATTCCTTCTTTTTAACTCGTTATACCGCTGGTTTGGCAAGTAGCTTCTAACTTGAGCTAAACGTTGCCTTGCAGGTGGACTTTGCCTTCACGGTGTGGCAGAGTTTCCCTGAGAGAATCGTGGGATATCCAGCCCGCAGTCATTTCTGGGACAATAATAAGGAGCGCTGGGGTTACACCTCCAAATGGACCAATGACTATTCCATGGTTCTCACCGGAGCTGCCATTTACCACAGGTACTGCATGTGGAAACAGCTGCTTCACTGGGAGGAAATTAGGGCAGTGCCTTCCCGTTACATTTTATTTGCACCGGTGCATTTCTACTGCAATTGTTTGGGGTCATTTTTTTGCCAGAAAGGAAAACTTCTATTCAGTAATGATGCATTAAATTGATTAAAAGTGAAAGGAAAGACTTTATTTAAAATAAATGCTGTACTTGTGAAATTTATATTCATCCAAGAAAAAAAAAAAAAAGTTTCCACAACAATATTAACTATTCTCATCATTGTTGATAAGAAATTTTGAATGTCACATCAGCATAGTAGAATGACTGTATATGATAGATCATATGATAGGTCGAGTAAACGCTTAATGAAATTCATTAGAATTATTCATTCTAAAAGTTAGGTAATATGCTGGTTATGTCCAAAATCAAAAGCAGTAACATCACAAATTTTCATAATTCTAGACATCTTTAAAATGTAGATTACCATTGCGATAAGTAGACTAGGCGATATTTTGTAAATATTAATACGATTATAATAATCTTCAGATTAAACCGAATCATGATCTTAAACAGGAAGTAGTCCAAATATAAGGATCTGTTTCTATCATGGTAACACCCCAGACATGAGGATGAGGACATGATTTTTCTTAAAATATCACAAAAGTATTTATATAAAATTATTTTCTTGCCAATATAATTATTTTATGATGTAATTGTATTTAATTTAACATGCATAATATTTATTTTAAATAAAGATTTTCAGATTATTATTTTTGTAAAGTTGATTGGCACCACCTGCCACCACAAATGTAGAATTGTTCAATTGTGTCAGAAAAACATGATTTGCAGTTTCCGTAGTAAGCTAGAAACTTGGGGCTGATTATTAAAAGGCTGATATTGTTTTTTTTGCAGTTAACGAAAAAAAAAATCAATATCTCTTATCCAGTCCAATACTGAGCTTTTGAATTTATGATTTGGTTGTCTCAACCTGTCCTTGACAATGTCCATGCCCTCCATTCTGTCCTTTTCTCCAGATATTACCACTTCCTGTATACCAACTTCCTGCCAAGTAGCCTGAAGAGCATGGTGGACCAGCTGGCCAACTGTGAGGACATCCTCATGAACTTCCTAGTGTCTGCTGTCACCAAGCTGCCGCCCATCAAGGTCACACAAAAAAAGCAGTACAAGGAGACCATGATGGGTCAGGTAAGTGTAGATAATTAAACCTACATGAGCTTGAGCAAGCCATCTAACGTTGTGCATCTGTTCCTCTTAGTCATCTCGAGCCTCGCGTTGGGCGGACCCGGACCACTTTGCCCAGCGTCAGACCTGCATGAACAAGTTCGCCAGCTGGTTTGGCGTTATGCCACTGGTCCACTCCCAAATGAGACTGGACCCCATTCTGTTTAAGGACCAGGTCTCCATCCTCCGTAAGAAATACAGGGAGATTGAGCGGCTCTGACCAGACTGGCGCCCCTTGATGGACATTCAACAGGGGGCCGCAATAGACTCACCAGAGCTGAGGAGGACCATAGTGGTTCAGTTTTCCCTTCAGCACACAAGCAAAGGACAAAGACAGCAGGATGTGACGGCCTCTGTGGACCTTCAGACACACGTGACACACTTTTAACTCTTCGGAAGATTTCGTTTTGTTTCAAGGTTGGTAACAAATGCCACAGAAAAACTCCTCTTTCCCAGCACATGAGCGAGTTGTTGGAAGACAGGAGGGACGCATCCTCGTGTTAGCACTTCTTCACCCCGCCACATCGAGATCCATCCATCCATCCTCCTGCCTCGGATGTCAGCATCACTTTCTCTGAATCAGTTCTTTCCAAGGTCTTGAGTAGGGCTGCACGATAAATCGCATGCGATATTTAACGCGCATCTTGTCAGAAAGCCGGTTCTGTAATCAGCGGTAAATCTCCATCACGTGCGTGCTTTCACATTGAGCAGCATTAACTACACAGAGCCGTTGTTCACTGATGAGCAGCGCAAAAAATCGCGCGAATATGAACGTGGTTTTGCGCTGCTCGTCAGTGAACAACGGCTCTGTGTAGTTAATGCTGCTCAATGTGAAAGCCCGCAGGTGATGGGAGATTTACCGCTGATTACAGAAGCGGCTTTACTGATAAGATGCGCGTTAAATATCGCATGCGATTTATCGTGCAGCCCTAGTCTTGAGCCATGATTGTGTACGATTGAGCCCATGCTTTTATTTCCAAGTTTGAGGTGTTAGGGTTTTTTTCCTTTTCGAAAGACTTCATAATCATTTCGTTTCAGTGGAAGTGATTCAAGGCTATGATGTAGACAGTGAAGGTGAAAAGTTCACAGACGCAGATATTGCAGTGTGCAAAAAAGGGCCATAACATTACATTAAAAACGATGGTCCCTCTTATTAGTGGCATAAAAACCATGTATACACCCTGCAGTATTTTATTTCTTATTTTCAAAAATGGTGCCAAGACTAATGAGTTGCCTTAAGTGGCTTGCCAAACCCTCCCTACCTAATTAATTCATGCAAATCCACCTTAAAGTGTATTAAAAAATATAACTAGAAATCCCTAAATCTTCATGTTATTAAACAGCCCGACTTGGAAAAAAATGTTTGTCATAGTCAAGAGAAAAATTAGCATGGAAACAAAGGCAGAGCTTACAGTGCAGTAACACCATCTGTTTAGGTGAGAAAACTTTCATAGACATCAGCGCATGACAGGTTGCATTGTAAGGACTTATGGCTGTAATTTAAGTGAGACGTCTCTCACCTCCTCTATCTTCCCTGTCCCTGTGAAAAATGAGCTGTCCGTCAAAGTTCAATGAACACTGCCTCAATTCTCCCCTTCGGCCTCCTATTTTAAATGCGACTCCTTCGCATATAAAACTCACTCAGCCACAAATGGACACCTGGCAAATTTATGTCCCCTAGAAAGTGGCAAGTATGCTTCTATTCCATCAAAATGTACATCCATTCTTGTTGATTTCATATCAAGGGAACGGCTCTCAAGACTTTGGGTGTTGTTTCACTGTTTTCCAGAGTTAGAGTGGAGCATGTTGTCAGTCTCCGCTCACAGGTACTTGAATGTCTGATGACTTGAAGGAGTGCCGTGCTTTAGTGGCCTTTTGTGAAGGTGACTGGACTTAAAATGTGCCAGCTGTGAGCCAAAGCCTTTTTTTTCCTTTTCATGTTTTCTGCACATAATGCATCAGAATGCGGTTGATGCTGTGACATGATGTACACTACATATTTTGTTATCCCCCATCATGGTCAGCCCACGCTGAAATTGAAATGCATACCTGACACTGAATGTTTAGGAACCCGAGTTTCAGACTTCAATTGTTGTGCATTGTATTTTAATAAGCTATTTGACATTGAATCATGAGTTAAAGGTCTGAGAAATTTGCCGTAATGCTCCTGTGATTCATCTGACATTATCCGAATGAACTGGCCTGAATGAAATTTTAAAATGTCCATCTTGACATTAACGTTTAGGTGCTTGCTTGAATCTTGTTATACAAGTATGTGAATTAATTTCAAGTCCCTGAAAGCTTCTACTATAATTGCCCTCTTAACAGTTGCATAAAATGTTCATTAGTTAATTAGTTGTCTTTGTCATCCTTTTCTGTCTTTTTTTTTTTTAACAAACGGCACACATCTGGTTAAGTTTTAAGTTCAGCAAATCATCTAATTTAAAAATGTATGTCCAGCATTTATACCTATGATTGTCATTATGATGTCATATCACACAATTAATGTCTGGCCTCGCACAATTTCATCAGCCAATTATGTACACTTCAAATACAATGTACATAATCCTTGTTCATACAGCTGGATCTACACAATTACATATAGGATGATGCATCCAAGATGATTTTAGCAGGTAGATGTGTGCATCAGATGTCTGTTTTGATTAATATGTGCATCCCATCCTGTCACGATGCCCTTGCCAACACTGTCATCAGGGCTCATGATATGTCCAGATCTGCCCAAGGCCCTTGTCAGTGCACAGCATGTGTGCAGACGACACACTGATAGGTGTTTGCATTGACGCCAATGTTATTTTAATTACCCAGCTTAACGTGACAAAGCCATTCATTTGAAATTGGCCTGTTGAATGCTGCTGCTATCACTACACACTTGCAAGATCACCAAAGAATCTTGGCAAATTTAAACTCATGCAATTGTATTATGTTGTCGTTAGCAAACTGATTCTTGCATTGTTTCTATACTTTTTCGTTCTGTCGAAATCATCCTGTCTCGAGGCTAACTGGTCAAATTAGCATCTGATTTATCTTACATTATGTTCTGTGATTAGCAATAAGCAATATGGAGTCATGCTCAAAAACATCACTGATCTCTCCCTGATTGTGCCTTTTGATTCAACTGAGTTGAGTTTGTGACCCCCGCTGTCACATGGGACAGAAGCAGCAAAATCTTTCAAATAAAGTTGCGTCATCTGCGGACACTAAAGTTTCACAGCATCTGTTAAACACTCGACTGTATTGCTCACGTTAGGCTGTTAACCAGACTTGCATGACCACTTTAGACTATTTATGAGTAAATACCGATTTGTTTTGGGTTATTTTTGTTCAGAGCTGTTTGTTTTGCTCCCTCCTGTCCTGACCCTTCATCCCAGTAATTAACAGAGGACTTTTTATAGAGGTGATAAAGAAATTGCAAAATGCCAATTTTGTATGAATGATTTATAAGAAAATGAATAAAGTCATATTTGATGCTATAACGACATGACTTGCATGTTTTTTTTTCCGATTAGAGGTTACAGATTAGGGATTACAAATAATGTAAGGTATATTGAACCGTACATGCTGGAATTGAGCACTATTGATTGTGCAGTTACTGTAGACAGCTGTGCATTTATTTTCTTTTTGAATAGGATGCTTTTATATCTAATATTAAAATCAGACCATTTGTTCTTGATTTTTTTTTTTTTTAAATAGAAGTCACATTGGACAAGCATTGGTATATGTTTATACTTAATAGATATATTAACACCACACTAATATGCAATACGTTTCATACAATATTTTTCTGTAAGTTATGATTGAACTATAACTATACTATACAGTTTAACCGTAAATAGCAGCCATCGCTCATGCAAAATATGAGTATACTTGCGTAAAAGGTTCATTTTAAAGCATATCTGAGTGAATGAGCAGACTGCTCAGACCTAATGTTCATCAGGTTGAAAATTGAATCCAAGACAGCTGAACCGAATTGGTATTTCAACCGTGTGTTATGAATGTAGCAGAATTTCTTCAGTCCAGTCCTCGTTTCGCTTCCTACCTTCTCTCAATTTTGTGCCTCGCTGCTCTTTCCTGCATCTGTCTTACGTGTCCCGCTGAAAACAGCTCATGAATGCAGCGAATACAGGCAGTGTATGTACAACAGTGTATGACTGTGCACACGCATATGTGTGTGTGTTTCAGCTCCTGACAGCCAGCATGGAGTTGATCTCCCAGATGAGGTTTCTGAGTTGGTCCATAATCATCTTCAGCTGCTGGTTCTTCTGTTTGAGTTTCTGTGATAAAAATGGAAATAAACATTTTCAGTTATTGAGCTGTTAAAGGGGTCATATGATGTGATTTCAAGTTTTCCTTTCTCTTTGGAGTGTTACAAGCTGATTGTGCATAGATAAGATCCCTGAAGTTGCAAAGACTAAAGTCTCAAAACCAAAGAGATATTCTTTATCAAAGTTAAGACTCTGCCACGCCCCCCTAAAACGGCTCGTTCTAACACGCCCCCACATATCTACCTCACTATGTGAAAATATTTGAATAATGCCGCCCAAACGTTCATGCAAAGAAAGAAGGCGTGGTTTCAGTAATAATGATCTTTAAAAAAGCATCATATGACCCCTTTAATATGCAGCACTGGTGAGCAGAACATCACTGACATAACATTTTTCAATAGTGTAACAGCACAGCTATTTTCAAAATGATGTAGCAGAGGTTTTTTTTCCCAACAACTACCTGTGTAGCATGACAAAACTCATCTTATGCCACATTATATGTCATTATTTCAGTGTGCAGAGCTGTAAAGCCAGTAATGTAAGCAAACTCACAGAATAGTGTGATCAGTTGTATTCACTGTGTAGTGTAGTGCATGTGCATCTGTAGCGCCACAGCAACAGAAACTAGATTTTGCCTGAGACAAAAATTAAATGTGATGGAATAACATGGTGCTGCTGGATAATTTTGATTGGGCCCAGTCTTTGTTTTTGCATGTAGCATGCCAATAACACAAGCTGAAATTATACAGTGCGACCAGTGTATTCCAGTTGATGAACAAATGTCTTTTAATGAATCAGTCAAAAGACTCACAAACTCAAACTGGTTTGAATCACTCTAAAGAGCTACTGAACGTCTGACCATCTGTAGGCAAAGATGCCCATTCTCAAAACAGTTTGAAATGGCATTAAATAGTTGTACATGATACTTAGGATGGTGGGAATGTCTTGCTTCATTTAAAGACGAAAGTAATCTAAAAAATAATTAAGATGAAAATAAAGATAAAAAATGAAGATAAAGATTTTTTTAAAAGTCACAAAACCTTTTTTATTTCTTATTACATGGCGAAAACAAACAAAAAAACAATGGTGAGATGTAAACATAACTAGGGCTTCCACACCGATCAGATGATTGAGTTAGTTCATTCAGTGAAGAATTCATCACACTGACTCAAACTGGTATCTCGAGTTTTTTAAATGATTCACTGAAAAAAAAAAACAGCTCAGAAGAGTCATTTGCTCATGAACCAGACTATAGTTGCACTATGTGCTTGTCTAGCAGTAAAATGTGATGATTATGTGAGATAACACATGAAACATGTTTTCTTGCCAATATTTGGCATTACACTGTGCTTCTTATATTCGATTCACAAGGCAAACTCACATTCATAACTCAGATAAAACAATTTATTTTAGTGTGTTGCTGGAGATTATCACTGAAAAGCGGTGCTGAAAACACTGCTGCATGCTGTATTTGTGTAAATATTTAAATAACATCACCTTAAGTAGCCTCAATACATTTCGTTGCTTTTGTTAGTTTAACTGCTTTATGAAAAGGACTATATAGTTATATACTCAGTAGGGGTGGAACGGTTCGCGGAAAAAAATCGAACCGGTTCTCCACACACGGTTCGGCACGCGCTAGGACCGCGGTTCAATCAAAATCTGACAACGCATCTGTAATATGGTTTGCTATAAATAACACGTAAAACAAACAGGGTTCTGCTAATGTATGTTTCTGTTGATGGATGCGCATTCTGGCTTCCCAGTGCATTACAACAACAGCAATAAAAAAAAAAATTTTTTAAACGTGGACAAAGTTTCAGATTTTGTCCGACAAACCATTCACTCTTGTTCAATGCGAGTGCTGTATGCTGGAATATGAGCAGTCATTTATTTCGTCATCACCCGGGTGCTGATAGCGCGCGCGCACAGGCGACACACGTTGATATCTGTGTT